GAAGAGTAATGATACATAGGCTAAAGTCATGATATTCCTTCCTCACTATTATTATTAATTATAACTTGGAATTTCTGACTATAGGTTGCATCAGTATAAAAGTAGCCTTGATTGAGTTATTACCCTTCTGCTATAATCTAATTTTCTGGGTGCCTCTTCTTTGATTGAGTTGTGCTGTGCTCGTGCTCGTGCAAATATGTGATTATGAGGACAAGCTAATGTGTTGAAAGAAAAAAACATGGCAGATTTTTGCTTAAAATGGTGTAGGTAGTGTTGGCTACTTTATGTTGATGAAGCATGATAGTATAGTGGGGAAATTTCGTTTGTCATGTGCAGTGTTTGAAGTTAATGATACGAAACCCTTGGTAGGCCATTTTATGTGCAAAGCACAGTTAATACATCATAGAATGCTGCAAATGTGTACTGGCTTTTGTTTAATCGTGTGGTGAATATGCTTCTGTAGAATTTATCCCAATCAAGGGCTAGTGGTAGGAGATATACCGCTTCAGAAACCGAGTCTTTACCAAACTCAGAATCACGGAATTCCCGTAGGCATTCTTCCTCATCTGTTGCTGGTGGCTTACCTCCACTAGGAAGGTGCATAACTGACCTTATTTCTCTACAAGTTGGTCTTGTATTACTTTATTATTTTACTTATTTATGTTTGTAGATGTTCTCAACTTCATTTCTGGTAGACATTTTTTTATAACTCACCTATTTGTTGCAGGGCTGTTCCTTCATCCCAGGCATCATCTGGTGGGTATTTTCTGTAATTGACTTTTTTACCTTAAGTTATTTGCGTGCTTGAAATTTCCCTTAATTTACACTCTAGCATTCAGATAGAAGAGGTGGATCTTCCATGTCTGCCTATAGGAAAGATGAGTACAATTGGCGATATGACAGTGATGAACTTGCCGAGGACATAATTCAAACATCAGGTGCATTGGAAAATCTTCAATTAGACAGAAAAGCTCGGAATCTAACATCTTCTTGGCGGTTGGTCTTGATGCAACTCTGATTTTATTCTTTTGTTACCAAGCACAAAGCATTTAATATTTTAGATTTTATCACCCTCTGAATGGTTTGTCTAGATATTAAGAAACATTAATGTTTTGTGATTGTCTTTGTTTGCAGACACGCTGGTGATGGAATCAATGAGGACGATGGCAGGGTTGATCACGCGTAGGGACAGACATTGCTTGCCTAAGTGCAATCTGCTTCCTGTATTTTACTGTGTATTCTTAGTTTTCTGCCTCTGATGATGATTGAATGAGCCTAATTTGGTGTAAGATCATTTAATTGTGATGTGCTTTAGTGTTTTTTATGAGCTATTTTTCCTCTAGAATTTCCCCTTTCGGCTATATTTGAGAATTTTATTTAGTTTCCATGATTTGGGCTATAATGCTTTAAGGCCATATATTTTCAGCATCTAGTAAAATATATTTGCTGGAGCTAGATTCCAAGGCCCTCCCTTATATGTTGTGTCGATTGCTTCGGCGATGCAAAAGTATGACCCTCTTTTCTCCTTATTGAATACAAGGACTTTTCATGAGAAATGTTTATTTATTTAATTTGGGAAATTTTGATTGAAAGTCATTTTTAAAAACTAAACATGAAAATTTACCTTTTATCTCCAAATTTCACATAAGTTTTATCCTACTACCTTTATTTACCCTTCCCTAATGTTTAGCTTTGATAGTGTCTGATCTGGTGCCTCTTGTGTAACTGTTAGTAGCGTATCTCGCACGAATTTCCTTAGTTGTAAGGTAACTCTGGTCACTAACCAAAAACTCGACTGTAAGATTGTATTGCTTTAGTGTATATTACAACTCAGAATATTGTATTACTTTAGTCTTGAACTATTGCTAATCCTCTAAAAGTTGTTCGTAAAAAGGATTACATATTTTACATACCAAAACCCAACAGTATAACTTACCAAGAATTCAACATTCTTTACACTTTTTTCCAAAATGAACAATTCAACATAACGCAGTCGTGTACTATGGCGATCTTACGTTACAGTGATGGCTGTAATTGTGTTCACTAGGTAAAATATGTGGTTAATATGCTGGGAAGTAAGTTCAACAACCAATAACTAAGGGTTAATTAATTGCAAGTCTCTCTTTCAGTTTTTTCGAACAGGACAGGCAAATGATGTTTATATTTCTTGAAAATTAATATTTTATTTTATATAAACTTCTCTAGATTTATATAACAATGTAAATAAGGTTGTTCAGAATTGTGTTTAAAAAGGAAAAACGGAATATCATATCATTAAATTTCTGGAATATTTCGTATATCATCACATTTATGGTTTCTGTGCATCGTGGCCAGGCAAATCATATATATTTAATGATTCTAAATTATTTTTAATCACATGATATATAAACATAGATATCTGAATCCTCAGAAAAAAAAATGCAACGCCATTATTGTGCAATAGCAGAAACACGAACTACCAATATGCATTTTTGTTGTATTATTGTATTTTATTGAACTAAGCAATCTAAATTTGTAGGTGTGGCAACTTAATGCTAAAAATTTATGAAATTTCAGCTTTATAATACAATCTAAAAAGAGTGAAAAAAAAAAACTTTTTCCAAATTTTTTTAAAACCTTTTTCAATTTAGTGATTAATCAAAGCTGACAAATTATTGAGTTTAGTGACAATCTACTTAAACAAAATTACCACAGACATCTGGCCAACTTAAAAAATAGTCTCGAAAAAAAAAACCATACAAAAATTACAAATTCATACAATTGTATATAATTTTATGACATTTTTTTTCAATTAAAAATAGCCTTGAAACTCGTAAAAAAAAGGACTGGAGACTTGTCAAAAAAAGGAGATACAGCTGTATAAAATGAGAAAAAACAAAACTATTGCGGGAGAAAATTAGAAGAGAGTTTGAATTGGAGATCATAGTGTATTTTAATGACAAGAATGTAAACCAAAATAAATTATCAATTTTAAGTTTTCTTATACAGTAGATTCTTTTAGTTCTATATTATTTAATGTTTTCATACTATTTTTATTTTGTTTTTATTATTACTATCCAAAAATTATTTTAACTAAAAGCTAAAAACAAAAATGAATATCGTGTTATGTTGTATCATGATCAACTCTTTTAAAAATAATTCCTTATATATATTGTTTTGTCGTATAATAATCAACGGTAAAAAGTACTTAATATGATACAATTCTTCAGTTTCAGATAACATAACTTGTTCCAAAGAGAAGAAGATAACTTATCAGATGCTTAATATATTTACAAAGAAATTACAAACATATTTGTTATAAGCAGTACCGAATATATTCTATAAATAGTGTTGTACTTTTTTAATACAAGAACTTGACCCGAGGGAGGTATTGTGTTTAAGTCAAAGATATTTTCAAAAATAGAAAGTGTATTAGAGAGTGAGGGTCTGGGAAACGCTGGGTTCGTTAGATTGTCTGAAGAAAAGGTTGCAATATACTAAGTTAAGAAAATGAAAGAGAGGTGGAAAAGTTGGTTAGTTGGCGGTCAAAGTCTAAACCCCACCAAGGCAATAAAATTTAGAAAACAAAAACTGCCAACCAACCCCAAAAGCCAAAAGCCAAAGCCCTTTGGAAATTCCTTCCACCACCAAACCAAACTCACTCATTTTGTTCTTCTTTTCTAATTCCTTTTTTATGGCTACAAACTTCATGGAATAAGGAAAGGAGAAGCATAAACAAACCAAACCATTTCCCCCCTCAAACCCCTGTCTCCCTTCCAAAACTACAATTAAAGCTTCAACCTTTTTCAACCCCAACTAATTCCAATCCTTAAATTCTCACTGGGGTTTTATGCATATGGAATTATCAAGATACTAAATTTCCCGACATATCTATCCAAGTACGATGAAAAAAAAATCTGTTACCGTTTTTTGTTGTATGAGTGCATACATATATTGTTCTTGTGTTCTGCAAATGATGATCGATAGAATCTTGTATGTGCAATTTTACGAGCTGCCCATGTTTCAATTTTGTTGTTTCTTTCTAGTAATGAATGTTGATGGCTCTTGGTTATTGTTCAGTTTCGTAGTGTGGTTGATGAAAACTCTTTTTCTCATTCTGGGTTTGTTTGATAGATAGTTAATGAATGGGGTATCTGAATTGATTATGATCTCAAATCGTGGTGCAGGTTGTGGACACTGCAATTTTCGTCTTTGATGGTTTCGAGTTTTATGTATTATGGTGTCAGTGTTTCTTAATTGGCATTTGATTTGTGGAGGTTGGAGTTGGGGTCGGTTACGTAGATGGTGTAGATAGGAAAGTAGGCGTTTTGATATTGTCATTGACTTTGATTTGATGATTATTTGTTGGTCAGTTGTGTGTGTGAGACTATGTAAGGGATGGTATCAGCTACAATTAGGCGAATTGTGTCACCCTGTTGGAGACCATCTGATACGGGTGAAATTTCTGGTAGGCATGGAGATTCAAGTGGGCGTGTTGATGGTTTGTTGTGGTACAAAGATTCTGGAAGACATGCGCATGGTGAATTCTCAATGGCAGTTATTCAAGCAAACAAATTGTTGGAGGATCAAAGCCAACTTGAATCTGGCCCCTTGAGCTTCACTGAGGGAACTCCTCTTGCAACTTTTGTTGGTATATACGATGGCCATGGAGTCCAGAAGCATTCCCGGTTTGTCAATTGACAATCTCTTTAAAAATATCAAAGTGAGT